GTGTGTACTAATTCCTCATATATGTTGACCATAACCGCAGCTAGATATCTGGATATTGCTCATGATTGTGAATCTGTGTGGCTATGTACAGTGGGCAATTCTCCGTCAGCTGGGAGCAGAAACTAATCTTTTTTTTTTACCAGTTGATGTCATGATATTAGAACCCAGCAAAGGTGAAGCATTGTATTACAAAGCTTAATATATTCCATTGACAGAGCAGAAAGTGGTAAAAACCTTTGTCAGGTTCATACTCACACAGTATCCAGTTATTTGCAGTCACCGCGTTGTTAAGTCTGCCACTGATTATGACAGTCCGCTGGCATTGGGCTGCACACAGCACCTGGGTCTCCTTGCACCCAATTATGCCATAAAATTAAATATTCCTTGACCTCTTCTTTCAGCATTTACTGTTGTGGTGGTGGAAGAGGTAGGTGGGCCTAGAATTTGCATTAAGGCCTTGAGGATCTAAAAGGCTTCTCTTTTCTGATAACATACTCTATATACACAGCACTGGTCCATAATAATATATATATTCAGCTACCTGTCCTTGATTTAGACCAAATGTATGTTCTGATCACTGACAGTTGACACTACCAGGTGCCACAGAAGGAGGTCACTGAGGGACACCATACACATTTTATTATAGGGCATCATGATCAAAGTAACAGGAAGGACATTATTATAAAGGGGATGTAAAGTGGTTTGGTATATATTTTTTCTGTATTTATTACAGCCAGGACTATAGGATATGATTCAAATTTAAATAAAATGGTAAATATATTTCCTATTGTATTATCAGGTACACAGTAGACATCCCTTCACATGTTTCTATAACCTGCTGGTAGGTTAATTGGATCCTGTATAAATTGGCCCTAGTATGTATGTGTATGAATGTAAGTTAGGGACTTTAGATTGTACGCCCCTTGAGGGTTAGGGACTGATGTGAATGTACAATATATATGTAAAGTGCTGCATAAATTGACGGCGCTATATAAGTACCGGAAATAAATAAATAGTTACGCCGCTGTCAGTGTCCCCATTGGAAATATGCACTCTCATTATTTTCTGTGCTGGTGACAGAAAGCCTGTGGAATAGGAAGTGATGGGATCTCTCTTCAACAGGGACAAGGCAACCACTAATGTTTATAGAATGAGTAAAGTTTAGAACTTTTGTCACAATGTTATATTTTGAATCAAATGCAGAAGTTTTAAAACATTCCCCATTGATCTAAGAAAAAAAGTTTTAGCTGGAGTTGAGGTTTAAATGCCTGTTTGGTAATCTTAGAAGCAGAGTTTGGGGATGATATACAGTACATGCCATGTCTAAATATCACATGTATGGGCAGTTTAACCTTTTAAAAAGAACACCGCCCATTGTATATTTCAGTTAGGCAGCTAGTGACAGGTATATGTATAAATGTATGGTCACTATTGCAGATGTGATGGGAAGACACTGTGCAGTTATATTTGTTCCGTGTCTGTGCTGGTGGCGTGTAAAGTGTGAAGCTACGTCAATGCTTCCATGTTCCTCTTCAAACAGGAGAAGCTTTGTTTTTTGTAAATTAAGGGCATGGTTGAATATTTGCAGTGAATACTGTCTCATTTTACTTCATATCTCCTAACGTTACCCTCTCTGTTTTAATTGGTGTAGCATCCTCCTATTTAGGCTGCTAGTTACATTTTGTTTTTGGCTTTACTGTAGTGAGTGGAGCAGTGATTGGATTGATTGTTTTTGCCTGTTTCTAAGTCAGGTGTTTGATTTCTCCCATCTGTCTTTGGAAGAAGTTTCCAGAATATGGGTCAGGGAGATGCAGGTAACCAGTGTAAATATTTTTCATGCCCCAGCCAATCCCTGGAAGGAGGCATCCAGAAGCTGAGTGGGAGGGTGATAAATGCTCTGGAAGCTCTGTGTGAGTGTTTTTCCTCTTCAGGGAGTATCATTCTCCTGGGGGGCTATTGCCCCTAGGAGAGAGTTTCTGCTGAAAGATGAGATTGTAGTCTGGGTCTCAGCAGGAGCTTAGCTGAGGGCCTGAGGAAAACTGCTAAAGGAGTATTTGCTGGAGTGCACTGTTCTGAAGTCCTCCAGAAGAATCTTTTAATCTCCCTCGCTGAGGATCTTACCTGTGGAGGTTGGGTGGCAGACAGCTCCAAGGACATTGTGAGTAAAGACCTTGCTGTGGACTTTGGGTGGGCTTATGCTAGAAGGGATCTAAGTGGCGGAGGTTGCTACATGGACTGCTCTGAGTCATAGATATACTGGCCATTCCCTGTTACCTCCAGGAAAAGCTGCTGTAAGAAGATTGGTGAAAGGTTTGTCCTCCCATTATTGCTATTTATTGTTTTGGAATATCCTGTAACCCTAAACCCCTCTCCTGTTAAACGTTTTTCAGCAATAAATACAAAAAAGACATTTCCTACACTAAGTTATTGGAGCCGTGTGTGTGGGCTGGTACTTGTGGGGACGAGGGTCCTTGTGGGTACTATTTGGAAAAAATCTGAAGCCCCCAGAGGGGTAGCACTACATTGGTTATCCATCCATTCAAGCAACATCAGTTACCCATAAGGTCCTGGACCTTCACAAAGCAGCTGCCACTGGCTACAAACCTTTCCATTACTCACAGTAAACAATCAATTGAAAAATATATTAAAACACACAAATATTTTAATAATGAACCACACATTAGCAACAATATACAATGTTTTCATGTTATATATTTATATATATATAGAATTTAAGCCATTTTTGAGTAGCATTCATTTTTAAACGCTTCAAATATTACATAATGTTGATATAACATTTTTGCAGAAATAAATATATTGCACTTAAAACGATATTTCCATCAGGTGCCACGTCATAAACTTTTAACAACAACTGCATTTTTTTCTGGCATAAAATACATCTGTATAGATTACACTTATTTCCAGAGATTACACACATTATAAAGGTAACAAAATGACACAGTAATACAGGAAACTAATAACAAAGGCAAAAGTGAAATCCAGTTTTAAAAGTCAAATGAGACCATGTCCTGTTTTTTTTTTTTCAAATGTGGCTCTTACTCTCTGTTGTAAAGGGAGGAATGAGTTGAACCTGTGCTTAGAGGTGGGTCATTGCAATGACTAACAGGGGAGACAATGTGGATATTGATCTGTTTTTGTATATGTTCATAAATAATTAACATGCTGCCAACCCTAATTTAAAAAAAAATGTTGACTGTGTTAATAACATAAGTAATTGGAAATTTACATTTTTTTCTTATGAGAATTCATTGCAAATTCTTATTTTAAAAAAATGTTTTTTTTCTTTTTGCATGAATGTATACGGATCCATACTTCCTCATTCATCCCGCTACGATCTACATAAATGAACAGGCCAGCTTGTACTGCTTTTTTACAATAACATTTTAGGCTAGGTTCACACCTATGCAGTGTGCGTTTGATCAATTCTGCAGTGCTCTTTGTGGTGCTTTTTGCATTTTTGCACGTGTTTTTGACGCGTTTCGATGCGTTTTGCAGGGGAGGTTTTGCCAACTTGTTGCTGGGCAGATTAAAACGCATAAAGAATGCATCACAAACACATCAAAAATGCAATAAGATGCACTACATGCATTTCTGCAGTGTCTCCATTGAAGACTATTGAACTATTTAAAATAGATCCCCTCCAGTGACAATAAATCCCTCAGCAGTCAGCATCAATAGACCCTCCAGCACACCCCTGCACCCCTCTCCATTACATACATTCAATGCTGGAGGTGCCAGAACTGCATTCCCCCGTGCTCCCGCTGTACAAAAGCCATATATATATATATATATATATATATATATATATATATATATATACACACACACATATATATATATATATATATATATATATATTTTTTTTTTTTAATGGTGATGAAATACACAATAGCATCCAACTGTATTATAGAACATTGCATACACATTTCATCAATTTTCAAATCTTGGTGTTAAAAACTAGTTTTTAACATAACTAAATTGATACTCTTCTGGCTTTCTAAATTAATGAGAAGTTTTAGACCTGAAAAATATTACTGTATCAGTGCAGAGATCTGAATATTTTTTCCACCACTTACACAGAAAGTTCAATTTGCCACAAAGTAATAGTTGTGCCCTTAAATCTAATGAGTATTTTTTCTCAAACAATCACCTCTCTTCTCAAACATAAAAGCATTATTTTTATTTTTTAAAACAAAGTACACACCATTTGTTATTGCTGAATATCCGGATTGGACTGCAAAGTCCTGTGTTTTTGTGTTGTAGAAAACCACAATCATTTTATTGAAAAGCAGATTTAACAAAGGCTTGTGAATGCGACATGGAGAGAAAACAAAATCTATGTCCTGCCTTAAATGTTGTGATGTTGTGCTGGTCCCTAAGATGTTCACTGATCCACAGAATGCTTCAACATGCACAAAATCTGGTAATAAATAATTTGCATTTGTACTGAAATGGGAGAATAGCAGCAACATATGCCTCTAACAATTATTGCAATGTATCAGAAATCTGTCATTTACAGTACTGCATTTTAATCATATTTCTTTTTTGTCAGCCACTCCAGTTGAAACATTAAAGCAGCAATGAATGTTTACTGAACGTCAAGTGTATAAGCGAGAAAACTACCCAACAGTCAACACATCTATCAAAACTGTACACTGTATACAGATCAACTAGAGACCGGTTCTAAATTGGCCGATGTTGGTGCCAGAACTTGTAGCGTCATTGTGGAGAATTCAAACAGTGGAGAAACCATTTTGATGATTCCTCATATGTTTTTCTTCTGCTTACATAGGTTTGTCTCCATGATAAGATACATACATGGCTGCTTACATCGTCACATCAATACGTTTAGTGCTCTTCTTCTCTTCCTTCATGTGGTTCCTTATAATAGTGGCATGTGAGAATAGTTGCACTAGTGACCCTGTAATTGATGAACTGCTTCAGTCTTATATTTTAGGTGTTCAAGTGCAACATACCAGTCATACAAATGGAGTCATCACAGCCGAGGAGTGACGCAGTCCTTGGATGGCTGCATAAGGTCCCTGCTGGAAGTAGTGATGGTACCTGGGCATATGGAAAGAAGGAAATGAAGGCCCACTACCTTGCATGGTGCTTGCAAGAGCTGAAGGCGTGAGTGGCATGCTGAGCCGACTGTAGGCAGGCAAGGAGCCTTGGATTGGGTGAGGAATTGGTGTTGCCAGAGAAGCACCGCTAGAACCCAGCGCTGACAATGTTTGTGGGTGCTGGAAACTAGAGAACCCTGATGTGGAGGATACCCAGGAGGTGAGGGATAAGTTGTCAGAGGCTGTAAAAGCTGATCCTATAAAGAATAGACAAATAACTTCTTAATTACAGTCTAGTATAATGAGAAAGTTGAAATTTGTAACATTTGTCCAACAATTGCAATGCTGTCTGCAAGATATCTCTATAAGAACCACTACTTTTGCAGGATTGGACTCATTATATCCCTTTTGCTTATTGAGTTCTATGTATGAAGTCTTCCATCTGTTTACCCTAAGTGATATTAAAGGCAAAAAAAACAAAAACAAAAACATGTCATACTTATCTGCTCTCTGCAGTGGTTATGCACCGCATCCTCCTCTTCTTTGGTCCCCTACCGACACTCCTGACCCCTCTTTATAAGGGGAATAGCAAAATCTGTGACTCTTCTCCTTTAATGTGCACATGTGATATCCACCACCATCAGGCTTGCACGCTCACCTCACCAATTGATCCACATCACATAGGTCAAAACAGCAATACTCCCAAGAAACACCTTTTCCTCGATGTATTCTGATCATTCCAATCATCCCAGATCAGGCACTTGTTCTGATCTCACTGGCTACGACTGGATCCAGGACATTCCCCCAGAGAAGAACCTGTGTGTTGGGAGATCCATTGTAAGGAGAACTAGTGAAGAAAGTCCAGCATCCTCCGCACCACTGAGGATGCTGGGATTTCTTCACTTGATTTTTTTCACTAATTCTCCTAACTTTGTACCTTCATCAACAGATCTCCCACATATGTACCTTCTCTTGGGGGATTGTCCTGGATCCAGTTGTAGCCATTGAGATCAGAACAAGTGCCTGATCTGGGCCCTCTCTCTCCTCATTGGCTCACTGGCTGTGGCTGACAGCAGCGGGAGCCAATGGCTTTCTCGGCCAATGAGGAGGGAGAGAGTTCCCAGAGAGTCAAGGCTCTTGTGCACATTGCTGGATCGCTATGGGACTCAGGTAACAATTAGGGGGGCTGAGGGGGCTGCTGCACACAGAAGTTTTTTTTTTACCTTCATGCATAGAATGAAGGATGGTAAAAAAAATTGAGCCTTTACAACCACTTTAACTACTTGCTGCCCAGCCACTGTAGATATACGGCGGCAGGGCGGCACTCGCAGGCAAAATCACGTTTTAAAACGCGTGTTTTGTAAACAAATAGGGCGCGCCGCCGCCCTATTTGTCCCATCGATCACCGCCGCAGATGTGAGTCGCCGGGTCACAGCCGGTCCTTAGCAGCTGTTCCCGGCGATTGGCGGCAAACAGTGACAGACAGCACAGCTGCAGTAGCTGTGCTGTCTGTCACTTCCCTGTCAGCTCGAGGATGAGCTGATCGAGAAAGAACAGTTTCTCTTTCTCGATCAGCCTTGTCCCACCCAGCACACACCCCGCCCCCTAGTAAAACACACGCCCCCTCACTCCTATAACCCTTCCCTGCAAAATAAAGTTAACCCCTTCCTCCCCATTGCCATTAGTACAGTATCAGTGTTTTTTTTTTTTGCACTGATCACTGTATTAGTGTTTTTGGGGATGTCAGTGACCCCAAGTCAGTACCCCCCAATGTCAGAATGTCCGCCGCAGTCCTGCAGTCCTGCCATAAGTCGCTGGTCGCTGCCATAAGTCCCTGATTGCCGCCATAATTCGCTGATCGCCGCCATTATTAGTATTAAAAAACCCCTAAAAATCCCAGTATCTTTCCCGCCATTTGTAAACGCTATAACTTTCACGTAAACCAATTAATTTACACGTATTGGTTTTTTTTTTAGCAGAGACATGTCGCAGAATGCATTTTGGCAGAAATTTATGACTAAATTTGATTTTTGCATTTTTTTTTTACTGGACATGTTTTATAGCAAAAAGTCCAAAATATTGTTTTTTTTTTCTCAAAATTGTCAGCCTTTTTTTTTATAGCGCAAAAAATAAAAACCGCACAGGCAATCAAATACCACCGAAAAAAAGCTCAATTTGTGGGGAAAAAAAGGATGTAAATTTCATTTATGTACCGTATTGCATGACTGCGCAATTGTCCGTTAAACTAGCGCAGCGCTGTATAGCAGAAAAATGGCGTAAATTGCAGTATCTATACCATATTTTGTAGACGCTATAACTTCACACAAAGCAATCAATATACACTTATTGGGATTTTTTTTACCAAAAACATGGAGCAGAATACATTTTAGCCTAAATTTATAACCAACTTTGAGTTTACTATATATTTTTTATAGCTGAAAGTAAAAAAAATATTGTTTTTCTTCAAAATGTTTGGCCTTTTGTTATTTATAGCGTGAAAAATAAAAAGCGCACAGGTGATCAAATTACACCGAAAGAAAGCTCTATTTGTGTGAAAAAAAGGACGTAAATTTCATTTGGGTGCAGCACTGTAATGACCGCGCAATTATCAGTTGAATTAGTGCAGCGCCGAGTAGCAAAAAGAGGCGTGGTCAGTAAGGGGGGTAAATCCTCTGGGTGTCAAGTGGTTAAAGCAGAATTAAACCTCAGCACAAAAAAAAATATAGTATACACAGCATATTAACATATTATAGCAGACATTCCTTGGAAGCGACTCCCTCCAGTGCTGCACTGTCAGCAATCCTGTTGATCACTGAAGCTTCCATCTTCTCCCAGTTTTCCTTTTGGGCTCTGACTCTATAGCCACTTGATTGGCCACTGCAGGATGACATCAGGATGAGTCATGTCATAATTGCGTACTGAGCTGTGCAAGTGCAGCTCAGTGTACACTCAGAAAAAAGCAAACAAACGCCGACAGCCAGGGAGAAGAGACCAGTAGGCTCTTCATACATATCCTGTCAGCCATTTGTTTTTGTTTTTTTTTTAAATCTTTTTATTGAACTGTTTAACACATTGAGGAAATACATACAATAGACATAACAATGGTTCACAGGTATCCTACCCTCACAGGGGTGGAGAAGGTCAAATTATACATCCAGAGAGATTACAAACAAAAAGGCTGCATCAAAAGATTATCCAAGATGCCCATATGGCCATCACTACCAACAGAGGAATAAATGTGGGAATGTTAAGTGTCCCATACTAGTATACATTATAGCATGTGTGATGTCCCTAAGACCAGGAGGATGTACAAATACGCCTTATAATTACAACAACTACTCAGGGCATCGGCATGTCAGAGGCAGTGGAGGGTTTGGCCAGCCATTTGGACCATACGCTGCCATATTTTTTAGGGCAAGCCATTTGGTTTTTTAATTTTTAATTTTAATTCTGCTTTAATAAAGTATAAACAAGGCACACCTGTGTTAACTTTGAATAAAAAAAATCACATGCATGTGAAATGTAAAAAAACAGAATTTGTGATAGCACACAATTAGGTATTCAAAGTGAACACATCTGAACTGCATTCACTTACTGTACATTCATTTTACAAGTCAACAGCCATTCTTGCTTTAAAAAAATGAAACCCACCGTCTTACCTCTGCTCTGTACCACCTGGCCATCTTCTGTCAAGACATCATCATCTCCATAAGTCCGGATTGGGGATCGTGCATAAGAATGTTTTTGAATAAGGTTTTCCACACTTTCTCTGCATAAAATATATGTTAAAAAAATGTTTGAATTAATTATCATTCTTCTTATTTCCTAGCAACAGAAGTATGTACTAATGCACTGTTAGCAAATATACGTATTTTATTTTCAAAATAATGAAACACTCACTGCTTTACATCTCAAAATTCATAAAAACAGTTTTCACATGCATAGTTCTAAGGCTAAACCTACTTTAAAGGCAAATAGTTGAAGATGGTGTTAGATGAACAATACTGTGGAACACAGTTCAGCCGTGGGGATGTCATTGCTGGTCCTTCCTCTCCCAGTGTGAGTGCTGCTGTAGAGGGGATGCTATGTAGAGGGGAGTTTGATATCAAGTGAGTTTTCTGGTATGCCTACCAGATGCATGTAAAACATATTCATTGGTTTCTAATGAATCCGTAACTGGAAGAAATGATACTTTTTAATTATCTGCCCGGAGTTCAGCTTTAATTCAGGAAGAAAACTTGCACTCAGTTAAGACAAAGTCATTTTTGTAAATATTAGTCTAAGCTTAGAGGCCAGTGATATACAGTACAATTCACTTACTTATGTAAAGCCAAATATTATTAAAGTGGTTCTCAAATCAAATCATTTTTTACTTTAATGCAATCACTGCATTTAGGTAAAAATATGTCATCCACTATCGATCCATCATTGTGCCCAACTGGTCCATCAGGAGATTCTGAGAGCAGTGGGAGTCATTGGCTCCTGCTGCTGTCAGTCAGATCCTGTGAGATGAGAGCGGAGTGTCTATTGATGCACACAGGCCGGCTTGTAAATACCCGTATGGCTGCCCCCCATAGCACGTAGAGGAGCAGGAAGCAGCGTCAGGGGACCACTAAAGAACAGGTAAGGGACCGCTTTGTACAATATCACTGCACAGAGCAGATAAGTATACTCCTCTTTTTTATTGTAGGTCTTTAGATAGTCTTTAGAACCACTTTAAAGGAGAAGTACAGCCAAAGCTCTTATTGCTCCATTGTATTCAGTACCGAAAGTGATAGGAATCCCAAAAAGTTGTTACAGGAACAGGAGTTGAAGGGAAATCTTCCAATGGTTAAATCTGTTCTGGTAACTACTTTGGAAAAGAAGATTTGCCCTCAATTTGGTGACAACTCAACTTACTTCCTGTTGTGTGTCTAGGACAAAATCTCCTTGAAGGGTCACAGAAAGAAAAACCTGAAGAGTTTTAACTATTCTCCTCTTTTCCAAAACAAAAAAAAAATCTTCCAATGGTTAAATCTGTTTCGATTACTTCTTTGGTAGAAAGTATGTCCCCTCATTTTGTTGAGAACACATCTTATTTCCTGTTGTTTCTCTGGGGACAGCACCAGAGGGAAAATCTCCCTGATGGGGCAGAGAAAAAGAAAATCTGTACTTTTTCAAAAACTAAAAAAAAAAGTATTTCCCATACTGTAGATGCTGTATGCTCATATGGGGGAAAGCAGACTGAAGATTTAAATTCATTGGGGTCTAAAATTATTTTGGGGTTAAAATCCTTAAATTTAACCCTCTGTTCTTAGGTTCTTAGGTCCACCAATCTGCAGTGGTCATTATAAAGGAATCTCAATCGGCCTGCCAATTTGTCAACTTTTTTTACATTGTGAAAAAATGGAAATAGAAATAAAAAAAAAGGTCAGCATTTAAAAATGGCAGTTATGCTGGTGCATACGATAAAGGATGCAAAACTCTTGCTTAATACTAATCTTTATCAAATCCTAGCAATTCTCAATGACATGTAGTCTTACTATGAACGACTTAACGTTTCCATCACGCAATGGGCCTTATGTGTGATGGAAATATGTTACCACCAGATGGAGCTGTTTGAGAAGGAAAACAAAAGTTGAGCTTTTTTCTTTTTTTTTTTTTTTCAACTGAGATTTATACAGTGGCTAGGTATTATTATTATTATTATACAGTATTTATAAAGCGCCAATAGTTCGCTCAGCGCTGTACATTACAGGTATGGTCCAAAGAATAATCTCTTAATACATCTTATTTTTCAACAAGCTGAGAAATGTCTTATTGTCTTTTATATAAACTATTATTCCTGCGCCAACAGATTCCCACGGGTTCTATACTGCTGCTGTGCACTGTGCAAAAAAAAACACAAACCACAATAAATAATGAATAGACCAGCGCAAACATAGACCTCTACACACCATCAATACATAAAGTGCATCATAACAAAAATTAATAAAATTAATAATTAATATTAATAAAAATCAATAAAATTAATAATAAAATTGTATTATTAATTTTATTGATTTTTATTAATATTAATTATTAATTTTTATTAATTTTTTATTATGATGCACTTTATGTATTGATGGTGTGTGGAGGTCTATGTTTGCGCTGGTCTATTCATTATTTATTGTCTTTTAACTCAAGCACCCAAAAGTCTTAACTGAGAACCTACAGTATGTTACTCATCAATTCATTAATTTTTTAAATTATAATATATTTGCTTATTTATGTTTCAGACCCCTATGGGCTGTTCAGTAGCATGGTCTTCATTTGTCAATGGAATGTACAGTAAAATAGAAGTGTATTATATGTTCATGCTGCTTAGTTTATTGAGAATGTACTCACTATGTGACCACTTGGAGTCTACTAATAGTTGCTTTTTTATAGTAGTGTAACATTTGAAAGTGTATCTAAACCCAAAAACAAAAACGGTTCTTCGATCTGCTGGCTGCATTGTTTTTTTTCCCTTTACAGTATCTTTAGGTGGTGGTCCTGCTAGTATCACATGTTCTGTCCTCCAGTGACAACACTCACTCACTGCACTGTATCTACTGTATAGGGGATCAGCATTGTCACCCTAGATTGCTCTTCTGATTTTTGACTACATATCTCTCCTCCTATTTCCATCTCCATTACAAAGGGAGGCTTTTTATAATTCAGAGAAGATTGCTGGGAAAAGTAATAAAGTTGCCTGGCATAGTTCAGTGTGTTTGCAATGGATGTTAAGCGTTTTCTGTTTTGTTGACCATGTTTTACTGTTCCCAAGTTGGGGTATGTGGTTAGATTTCTGTATTGTAATGTAAATATGTTGCGCTGTTTAGTTGTGTTTGCCCTGCTCAGGTAGTACTCCCTGGGAAGTAAAGGCTCATTTACACGGGGCGTTTGGAAAACTCTTCTGAACGATGGAAACTGACTGCTGGAAAACTAGGTTAAAAAAACGTCAGTTTAGCCGCGTTTGCATTCCGCGTTTATGTGCGTTTGGAAGCGTTTTTAAAAGATGACCTCAGAAGACCTTCCCAAATGCCCAGAATGCACTGAAAAACAGTAAATAATTCACTATTTGAGACATTTTGAGAGGAATAGAGAGAACAGAAGCAGAGAGATCAGTATGTGTTGAGATTACCCATCTTTTCTGGTTGTATTCACTATGGATCCCATCATGAGCATAATGCAGCGCTTTCTACTATTTTTTCCTTCACGTGAAACCTGGAACTGACTGCGCTGGTGTAACGGGTCCATTTAAATACATTGAAAATGCTTTGCATGCATTTCTGATGATGAAAAAAGGCTCTGAACAGCATCTGGACATGGAACAGTTAAAAAACACTTCTAAACGCAAATGCTTATAAACACGATTAACTGCGTTTACACGTGTTTACAAGCGTTTGAAACGCCAGAAAAATCTACGCCTGAACGCAAGTTGGTTCATAAAAATGACTGTAAACTCAACTGCCTGGAAAACGACTGTAAATGACGATGTGTACATGGACACAGGAAAGCTTTGGGGAGAGTTCAGGGGCTGCTGAAAACAACGCTGAACAGGTCCTGAACGTCAGCTTAGTGCAGTGTACATGAGCCCTAAGGGTTAACTCTGCTGGTCTTTTTGGGGGAAGTACCGCCCCCTTATGGGGCAACCACATAGAAAGGGAGGAACCACTTCTTGGAGGGGGGGCACTACAGTGAGTAGGATGACTGGAGGTTTTCGATTCCAGGTCTCAGGATCCAAGGAACATGTAGGCTGCTTGGGATGTGATCAACTATTTGCACTTAACCACCCCCTGTGGGAGCCCAGTCGAGGTTCTAGGGATATGTACTCATGCTTTTGACTCAAGGACTTTAAGGACTTTTCGTACCTGTTCAAAGTATGACTACATCATTGGCAAGGGGTGCCATGAGAACACCTAAGGGGCACTTAGAAGATCATGTATAGGAATGTGTATTAAACATATCTTTGTTGAATTGTTCACAAGTTATATTTAAACAACTCCAGTAAAATTACTTTTGCTGTTATTTAACTTTGCCTAGTCTGATGTTACTTGAGGACAAAGTTTATAGGGGTGCATGCATGGTGTATAACAGAACGGCGATTGCCTCGGAGGTTGGAGTGGGAGAGGGTACCTGTCAAAATCAGGTACCCGCTCCCCAAAAGGTAACAATTCTTAAGGGGGACGAGCCCTTAAAGCGGAACTTCCCCTTTTGGGTGGAGCTCTGTTTTAAGTTTCCTAGTATTTCTAAGAGTAATATACAAATCAATGTCACTAGTGAGCAGGGGCGGACTGACCATTTGGAAACTCAGGCACTGCCCGAGGGCCCGGGGTCAGTAGGGGGCCCCATGAGATGCCCCTGGTACCTTTTTCAAAGGCTTTTTTGAGTTTGGGCAAGGACACAGGGGCCCCATGATCCCCTATTGCCCGGGGGGCCCCATGATCCCCTATTGCCCGGGGGCCCCATGAGTTGTCAGTCCGCCCCTATTAGTGAGGTAATTAAGGTAATGGCTGCGGGAGTCCAGAACAGGCCCAGCATTACTGGCTCAGAAATGCTGCATGATACAGAGAGAAGAGTTACGAAGGTATTGAGCCATTGTCTATAGAGTACAGAGTGTAATGAGTTAAAGAATTGTGCCATAGACTTTAAGGAGTTAATGAAATCCTATGAAGAAGCATCGTTTTTAAGTTGGAGTGTTGCCTTAAAGTGAGCCTTGTGTTGAATGGCAGCCTCAGTGTTTCTGGGGCCACTAGCAAGCTCTCT